ACCCAATTTTATCTCACCTCCCTTCCAAATTGGATACTGCATAGTCCACATTATTGCTTGTTATACTACTAAAAACTGTCAAGAACCACCCAATTTCTTTCATATCACTATACAGTGAAGTACGGTTATAACGAACTCAAAGGAACTACTAATTTTAGTTCGTTATAACCGTAGTTCGTTATAAGCATATATACAGCATAACTACAGCAAATAGTCGGGACCAGAAAAGTAAGTTCGTTATATCCCTAAGTTCGTTATATCCGTAAGTTCGTTTTCAGCGTGTTCGTTATAACCGTAGATTACTGTAGTTAATCTGTGATGCCATGACAGATTAATTACAGTAATATGACAGAATCGGATGGTCCTTTACTTTTTTGAGAAGCATATTCTTTGAAAATTGTTTTATGAAACTGAAATTCATGGCTAGCATTCTCAATTCTCACATTTTCAAAACTTAATTGCGTTTTGTAAACTATAATTCATTGTCTGTTTTATAATCAGCTGTCAAAAATAACACTGTGTTAATATGTCGATGTATTGAATAGTACTAATGAAACGAAGAAAGGAAATATTGATATTATGTAGTACTATGAGTGTGGTGAATATTATTTTACGCCGCAAGATATATCCTCGTTATAACGTGACGATATGTAAACAGTCTGGGCGGAAAACCAGTGGTGGATAGCATGAACACCGCACCCTCAATCAGCAGACCACACTGTTTTACGACAAGCATAGTCCACTGACCTGAAATACCCTTTGTACTATGGAATCATTGTCCACGAATCATGGTTTTGGCTACAAACGAATAAAACCTCCCGGGATGAAGACTTTTAATATCTGTACGTTGTGTCCCACACTGGGACGTACTGGGACGTACTGGGACATTACTATACACGCTAGTCAGGACGGCCCGTCAATGGCTCCACCCATGCATCGCGTGTCCTTACACCTATATAGGTCTGGTTTATTGAAAACTACAAAAGCCGTGCTTATCTGCCTTGGAACATTTGCTATACGTTGTACAATATCCCCGAGAGAATACCCTTGGTCATCGACGGTCTGAAATTATGTCGTTTAGAAAATATGAATGAGCATGGTTGAAAGATACGCATGTATTAATAATAAGAAGTTAATGAAGCACCGGGGATATTCATTGATGATTTCCAAAACTGAATGCTTACGTCCCCCGTGCGTGTCCCCCCGTCCGCTCAGAGTGAGTGGGCGATGAATGGATCACACTGGAATATGCCTGTTATGATATGATGATATTAATTATTAGCGTCACGGTGCTGTGGTGACCAGTGAGGATATTAGTCCATTCATACGTCCAGTCACGTACGCCCACTTTGCTCAGATCTTTTTTAGTACTTATTTTAAGAAAAGGTTGATAATAAACGCCTCCTAAAACATTACTTTATTATTTATAACGTAAATTGATTTTACAACTGGGATGGGCTCACCAGTCCCGTCAGTGTGTATGAGATTTTCATGGCGGCGGGGTAGCCTAGTGGTTCGCTCGTCGCTCGTCACTCCAAACATTTGGGTTCGATTCCTACATGGGTACAATGTGTGACGCCCGCTCTTGGTGTACCGACCGGAATTGTTTTGGAATATACTAAAAAATAGTGCAAAACCACTTTCCCTTACCCGTTTATATTCTCAAAAAAAATACTATGAAGGACAATTATCAATTATTTTTATATGACAATAATGATAATGATGATGATGATGATGATGATGATGATGATGATGATGACATTGAACTTAATGTGATCAAAGCACACAACATTCGACGGTCAACCTAAACTTTTTAAGTTGCAAAATGACGTACATTTATTGCCAAAGCATTTATTTCACAACCGCAAACATTCCTCTCTAATTTTAGTACAAAGAGTACCGAAACGCAATTTTCCTTTGTAGGAGACCCATGTGAGAATGCGAACACGTGACTTCAGTAGGTGGCGATGTTGACTTAAGGTTTAATATTGTCCGACCATAGTTCGTACATTGTGAGCGCTTCGAAAATCAACCCTGGTGTTATTCACTGTCAAGACGTTTCAAGTTTCTTGAATGTATAAATTGAAACGTCCCATTGAATTCTATAAATATCTCTTTCTCCGAACACGTGTCTTTCAACCAGCATTAGCTTTACTTACTAACTTAGGGTACACAGTTCATTGACTGATGTGGAATAGTAAATGTACTGCTTGTCGATCTCTCTGACATCTGTTTCCGTCAACTCTCGGTGCTAGTGGACAATAACTAATTAACACTTAGGGGCGATTAGTGTGAAGTGTTGACACGTGACAGTTTCAAAACAGCTGACTCGGCTACTTCATTCGTGACCAACTCGTGTTATTCCGGGACAAGCCGAATAGCGACTCGTGCCCCTCTCATTTTTGCGACCGGGTTCGGTCTTAGCGCAAACGGGCATACCTAAAACAATTGTCAACTCGTTGCGTAATGGTTCAAATTTATTTCCCCATATATTATATATATTTCAGATGCAATTTAAAGCACATCGGGACATTAGACAGTATGATTGAACACATTTAACTGTGTCTTGGGTATATGTTTAGATGCAAGACATATGTAAAATCAATAATTACTTCTGAGGGATTCTTTGACGAAGAACTTGAAATCATACGCGCATTCTGATTGGTTTGTCGTATTTCCGCACATAACATTCATCGATAGGGGTCCGAGTCTTCCTACAGGTTACGGAAAGGGGCGGAAAGGTGCGAGTGGTGACGAATGTCAGCTACTTATGTTCAGCTTCTTGTATCGCGTCTGTAGATCAAAATGTGACACGATTTTCTTTGAAATATTTAAGATATAAACAACATTCTGTGCAAACTTCCGCGTTCGTGGCATCCTCGCCCCTTTAACAAACTGTCACCACGCTTAGTTATTCACCTGGCTTTTCATACATTTCTTTAAGGGTGTTAAAATAATATATTCATGATAACTACGAGTGTTGTTTGTTCAACCAGGTTTCCAAGGCTGTGGGCTACCTGCTGGTATCTCAGTCAACAGCCTGCTGGTAGCGATCCATTCACCTTTGAAGATAAATATTTGATATGCCAGTCTATTGTGAATATGCAAATACATGCTAAGGTGGCCTACTGCGATTGTGCCCGCGTATGTTTATATATGTGTATATAGCTATATCGCCTGTAGACGTCGAGGGACCATGCCATCCTGTTTGTTTATACATTAACCTTATTATTGACAAAAGCTAACTTGGTCAGTTATGTCTTGTCAGTTTTACGGATGTCTTATAAACAATGCATAAAGAAGTACTTTGTTCGAATTTACAATCCTCATTACAATGTTTATTGCGACTCGCACAGGCGGATCGAGAGGGGTGTGGGGTGTGGGTGTGGGGTGTGGGGTGTGGGGTGTGGGGTAGGGAGTGTGGGGTGTGGGGTGTGGGGTGTGGGGTGTGGGAGTGCTCCAGGAAGTCCTCCCCCTCCTTTTGAAAACAAAATGTAGTATGTTGTAGACAACCCCCCCCACACACACACACCACCACCACACACACACACACCTTCCGAGAAAGGATTTTGATATTTTGGTATTTTGGACCCCTCCCTTTTAAAAATACTGGATCCGCCCTTGACTCGTACGTGGTAAATAAATTAATTAGCCATCCAGGCTAAGTTAATGGACAGACATTTCCAAATATAATAATAATAAAATAACCATTTGTATGTTCCCTCCAACCCATCATGGTCATATTATCCTTATGTAACCTGGAATTTGACCTAATTTATTATAACCTTAAAATATAAGTAATATCTATTAATTTGTTGAGTAATAATTCAGCTGGCTCTATCACTTCTATGTTACGTAAAACTCCCATATTGATGTCATTAGCAAAGATAATGTCACGAACAAATATAAATATTTGAATATGATGAAGTCAAAGATAGTTTAAACATATTTTTATTTCATATATGAAATTAATTGAAAAAAAGCAAAACATAAGGGAAGAGAATTTATGGATGTCAACTTCTTTATTCTGAGGAACACAACTTACAGAGTAATGCTTACTCCTTCATCATCTGATAAAGAAGTAAACATATACTCTCGAAACGTTGTGTTTCTCATGATAAAGAAGTTGACTTCCATAAATTCTCTTCCTTGTGTGTACCACTTCTAAATGCCTCTCAAAGACTTTAGCAAAACATTGCTTAATTAAATACTGCTCCAGGAAAAACAAATTTCAGTTGGTGAATTAATATTAACACGTGCGTGTTAAATACAAATTACAATTACTAGTATACATACAGTCTGTTACCCTAAGCTGGAACTAGTGGTGGCCGAGCTAAAGGAATACAGTGTCACAGTTTCAATATTTAATGCACATTTAATATATATTATCATAAATACTTGTCGAATATTTTGCTTTTAACAATAACATTGTGGACTGATTTGAGAACTCTATGTTGAGTCCCTAAATGTAGAGCTGTCGATTACATCTGTTTCAGGTTATACCCTTCAGTGCCAAAAATCATATTCTTTCCACTATTTGCATAGTTTCTGCATGTAAAAAGAAACTACCTGAAAGATATATCTGCCTTGAACCTTGATAACGTTCCCGTTATATATACCATTCCAACTACATATTACGTGTTCGAACCTGATTAAACATCAACGCTTCACTTTTATGAATACAACCCGGTCCACATTGTTGTCTATTCAGGCTTGGAAATATTTCAAAACGTTACGAAATTCCCCATTTACAAAATTCTCCATTTACAAAATGCCCCTATTCATTACTTTATCCAGCGATGACGAATAATACTGTTAACATCTTTCGATGAAGTCCCCGATTGTCACGTGACTTGATCGGTAACATATTAACTCTCTTCGCCCATTTAGTTTTCATACAGAAGCAATGTCGATCCCTTTTAACATTTCTGAGAAATGCAAGTGAGATGTTCTGAGAATTCAATATCGGGTACTCAACTATTTGTATATCTTTTCAACAGGTGGGAGCGTCTAGGGACAGGCAGATTGCGACATCGTGAGGCTACCTGGCCCAGGTTTGTCAGCGACACCTAACCTGAAAGTGAAAGGGAACATTCCTCCCTGCGCTACAGAACAGGGGGAGCGTCTCAATGAACCTGGCAGAGCGTGGCTGAAACGAACAAGCTTAGCAACTGGGCAGACAGATCCGCCCGCCGCAGCTGAACGGCTGACTATTGAAGTCCTCTACAGTCTTTGAACAGGCACAGAGGTAGCTGGGAGCCCTCGCTTGGCTAGGTCGGCAGTATATCTTCAGTGTTGTTAACGCTCGAGTGACGGTTGGCAACTCGCCCCGCCAGGTTGGATGAGAGGAGGTAGTTGACTACCGAAGGCCACAGCGAAAGGCCGGACTAGTTACAGTGTGAACTTTGATTGTGCTGATTGGATTTAATCATGTCATTATTCTCAGGAAACAGGACAAAAGACTTGTTGTCTAAAAAGGCCAACTTCTATGTTGAGTTTCTGGGGTGGATGGAGACGAATGGTGTCCGTGGTGAAAGGTACACGGAGCCGGTGGTGAAAGTACTCCGCCAGAGACAACAAAATGTGGAAAGACCTCCCAAACTGACCATCCAGGTCAGTAAGAAGGAGGTCAAGATCAGTCAGGATGTGGAGGAGAAGAAGAAGAGGAGTATTAAGAAGATAAAGTTCCCGACTATTCCTTCCCGGGATGTGACGTTCGCTGTTCAGTCAATCCAACCGGACGGACGGCCAGATGACACAGTGGCCATCATCTACCTCGGGTATATGCCGCGGACCCAGCGCTACGTCCATGCCCACGTGTACAGATTCGACGAAGCTGCAACGGCTGCAACCTTTGTGGATATGATTAACCAAATCACGGACGTGAACGCCGTGAGGATCAGACAGGTTGAGAAGGACTTAGCCGAGAAGGGGCAGATTGAGGACCCACGCCGTCAAATGGTAGGTTTGAATAACTCTGATGGGATGAGCGACCCTCAACATTCTGTTGAGTCCCCCGCTGACTCCGCCGCCAGTAACAGCTCCTTCAGCGACGACTCTCCCCATTTCGGTAGCGATGAAATTGACCCTGACCTTCAGAGCTTGTCAGACGTGCAACATTTTGATTCTGTGACAGATGAACTTCAATTCAGGTTAAAAATCGGGGATGCTCCGCTCTTGCTTCCGCCTAAAGACTATGATACCGTGCACAGACAGCATGGGAATTTGGCTGGGACGAAGGAACGACGGTGTTTGAATATGGATATTATTGGTGGTCGGGAGCGCAACGGGTCAGGTGAGAGTGGAATAGACTTGAACTCACCCACTAGTGACACTGGTAGCAAGCTACCTGAATATACAGATGGATTTGATAAAAATATGCCTGTTAACCCTATTGCTCCTGAATTAAGACAAGAGTTCACCTACCCCTTTCCATCGCCAACCAGTCCCCTTAACAACAGAAGGAGTGTCAGCTCAAGAGACCTGGATAGCCCTAGGAGTTCTCGGGAGTTCAACGGCTACGGCCCTAACAGTCCTTCTCTCCGTCGCAATGACGTCTTTCATCGTCAACACAGTACCGAGAACTACAGCGACATGGGAAGCCCTGGACTGCGACGACATGAGGGGTTGAAGAAGTCGTCAAGCTATAACCACTACGCGTCCGAGAGCAACGTTCATGGTCGGCTTAACCCAACCCACAACGGCGACAGCGGCCCAAACAGTCCCCGCATGGTCGCGCACGGTCGTCAGACGTCCCAGTCGTCCATGTACAGCAGCAACAGCTACAAGAGCGACGGCTCCAGAGGAAGCCGAGGGAGCAACGAACGAGAGGAGGTAATCTACCCGTCAGTCGAGGACACCCCCCCAGCTGATTATGACAAAACCATGGGCCCAGAAATGAGGAGGAAGGTTTTAGCCGCTAATTCAGAATACATGACACGGGAGGAGTTGACTAAAAGTTATCCTCAGACGGAGTTGAGACGGGAGCTCCTCGCCGTGTCAGCAGGGGGACAAAGGGATCTAAGGAGATCCCAGAATATGGGGAATGACGTTCAATATATGGATGCATACGACCCCAGAGTAAAGAGGGGGAATTCCATGTACAGGTGAAGTGTAGAAAGCTACTAATGTATTTTTAACGAACACGTACACGTATTGGTCTCACCGTTTATTAACCCTGACCTAAGAAGAAATCTCGTGTGTGACTATTGTGTGGAGCGTGTACACAATGATGACGAAACTGTACAGTTGTGTACGAACAAGTTACATTCTCAGGATATATGGCAGTGTGGGAAGTGTTCTGTAAATAATTGAAGTGCAGCTTGTAAAATCACTTACAAAGACGTATTTATATATTCACAGAACATAATGTGTATATAGTTACATATTCTGCTAAAATCAAAACATCCTACACAGGGAATTCCATATTATATAAAAGTGACTTGAGAAACGTTTGAAAAGAATGTGTGTGATTGGGTAACGTATTCGCGCGGACGTCAGAGAAGACAATGTGTAAAAATGAACACAGCAGCGGTTCACCTGGACCATTTGTAGGACATTGTTCGACCCTAGCTGGTTGAAGGACCATTAGGCGTCATGCACAGGACCAGAAGGGTTAACAATCCCACCAGTGAAGGGGTTAATCAACTTGAAGACGCCATTCTCAACCAAGCTGAACAGACCAGACTGTTTATGTAATGTGTTTTGTCCGTACTGCAATTTGACTTCTTTATGACGATAGCACGGGACTAAGTTGGACAGGCTGAGATTTAGCCTCGAGTTGAAACCTCCACTAATCTCAGATCAAACTAATCTAACAAGTGAATCATTCCCGGCTCCTTGTACTCAAAGGGATAATCGTCATATTAAATCACGAGATTTGGAAGCCGTCAGCGTGTAAGATCACGAGGCGTGCAAACACCCGGCAAACAGATGCGTCGAGGCAGAGTTGCTTTAAGACAGACTATAACTAGAACGTCCCGTGAAGGACTTGGAAGATTTGAATGGTTCATTAGCAACCTGGGACAGTGTCTGAGACTGACTCTGAACTCAAATTTATTTATTACTCAACGAAATCGTTGACGTGCCGTTGAGAAATGGCAACTATTATTTATGTGTGTTAAAGACTTAACCTATGTACATATACACAGACTGATTACATATACACATATACCGTCTTTCAGTAACGCGTTGCACTGTATAATACTCTGAACAACCTAGATCGTCTAACTATGTATAGTCTCATAAATCGAAAAGGAATGCTTTAACTATCATGAAGTGAAACAATACATTGTGAAAAGCTATTTACCTTTAGAGGGGGACAACTGTCCTGTTACCTGTTAATCCTATCAACTTTGTTGGCCGTTTTAGCTCAGATTTTATAAGGTACATCAAGTGATATGAACAAAACAATTAACGATTACACGGTGACAGCTATTGTCCCAATCTCGATCAAGTAGCCTAGTGGTTAAAGCGTTCGCTCGTCACGCCGAGGACCCGGGTTCCATTCCCGACATGGGTGCAGCGTGAAGCCCATTTCTGGTGTGCCCCGCCGTGATATTGCTGGAATATTGCTAAAAGCGGCGTAAAACCATACTCACTCATCTTTTGACCTGAACTAGAACACGGCGCCAACAGTCCTTCTAGAAGGTTAGTTTTATAAATGTTTGATTTATCGATCTTTCTGTTATTGATTATTTGTTAGATATCTGAAACAGTCCAGAGGCATTGCAATATGCGAGTTTTGCATTGGCAAACTAACCTGTTACACTGTGACATTGTATAAACATCATTGATCACAGTCTGTCGTTGTGTCGTTATTGACTATTATACACGCATAGCTATCATGTCGTTCATAATCATTGATTAATCGTTATTTATGTTATGCAACACGAGGAACACAATGGCACAATCTTCTAGATTGGGTTATAAATGATTCGGTTTTGGACGATTCCTGGAAACTCAATACTCATGGTATTTATATGATGGAAGTTTCGGATGAGGAACTACTGTTTTGGAAAATCTCAGTGTCAGCGCTAGAGAAAAATCAGTCTCAATTATCTGCCGAAAATCAATTATGACACCAGGTGTTAAGGTAAAACATGACAGCCATAGAACATCCAGATGACCGACATTGATAAGAAGTTGGAGTTGCTTCCCTTAGTTGTGCCAGGATCCACCGAGTATGATTCGAACAGTTGATTGGCCTTGTTAGGCCCTTGGTTTGGTAGCTTGTGGTCTGAAATAGCATTACGTCATAATTTAGTCATAGATTTACGTCAGTTCGGACTTTCTTCTCACATTTAGCTGATAGCTGCAATGCAGGTTATTAAGGACAAACTCTTTCTATATTAGCGACGATATATTTCCGACGATATGTTGATGAATCACTATTAAATGGTGATGTTTGTAAATGATAAATCAAGAGTGTTGTTACCAAGACAGGCAGTGTGAATTTACTTCTAATACGTCAATGGAAATTTGGAATTATTTGAAACTCATGTTTCAGCCTTTAGCATTTAAGAAGCAACTGCCTTGTATCACGTTCCACCGATCTACACAAATTAACCATTTGTAGGCAAATGAGCGGTAAACTTTGAAACAGTTGTGTGAATAGGCAATTCACCTTCACCTCTCTCCATTGTGTGAAGACGAACACGACCATTACTGTGTGTAATGCAGATATGCCTGTGTGAACGTGACGTCACGTACACGCTACTGAAATGTAGACGGGAGAGGAAGAGGAGGAGGAACACTGGAGAAGAAGTTGTATCTATGGCTTAAGGGGCACTTGAATACAATCTTCTTTTCTCATTAATGACACAATCGGGCTCCTTGACATTGAAGAGCAACCCTTGTTCTTTATTACTAGGCTAGGAGTTAATTGAAAAATATTTTCCTTATATTACGGCGTGTCAGGTGATTAAGGATGTATTGGTGTCAAACCCAGGATATTGATCAGTGCGCATGTAGCAGACCTATTCTCTTCTTGATAAGGGTTTTTATTGTATTGAGTGAGTTTTTTTAACTCCGCTTTGAACAGTATTTCTGGATTCTTACGTGTCAGCATGATGTAGGGGGAAAGCCCGAAATGATGCAGGTCTTTGACATTTACCACTTTGATGAAACCTACGAGCACGGGTATGGTGCTGACAAACCTAGAAACATAATCAGAGGCAACCTTGATTCGAACCCATGATCATAGGTTTCTGGCTCGCCTAAGGGACGCAACTCTGCACAGCGAAATTGAGAGCCAATGACAACTGGACCACCCGTGCCTCTCTATTTTGTTAACAGCACACTCATTATATAATCTTTTTTCATTCGATTTAGTTTGTTTGTTGTTTAACGCCTCAGTCAGCAATATTCCAGCTGTATGACGGCGGTCTGTAAATAATCGAGTCTGGACCAGACAACAGTGATTGACATCACGAGCATCAATTTCCCCAATTGGGATACGATGACATGCATCAACCAAGTCAGTGAGACTGACCACCCGATCCCGTTAGTCGCCACTTACGACAAGCATAGTCGCTTTGTACGGCAAGCATGGGTTGCTGAAGACCTATTCTACCCCGGATCTTCACGGGTCTTTTCTCATTCGAGTCGCATCCGGTGACGCCCGTACCAAAATCCGTGAGACTTCACGAGATTCCAAGAGATTCTTACAGACATACGTCTTGGCATCCTCATATAATAAATACTACATGTATTAAACTGTACATATATATATATCTGAGTTGGTGTTGTCCGAGCAGGTCACCTGACCTCTCCGTACCTACTCCATATACAGAAATATAATATATATCCCCTCCTAAATACCTCTACCTCGGGGTGTGTGATGACGCAGCAGGTGGTTTGTACTGTTCTCCCTACTCTCACCAGTAAATCCCTCCCTTGTGGGGTGGGTCACGTTTATCAAAGCCCACACGTAGGGGGAGAAAGGCGAAATTTGACAATTTGTATACTCAACTTACTTATGTTGAGAGCGAGTTGGGTTGGACGCCGTATTGAAATATTTACTTACACAAAGGATTGTCAACTTCACGCAGGAAAGTGACGAAGGTCGTGGACTTTTATCATATGGGATTCGAAGCAACGAACTGCGGATCCTCGTCTACTAGGGGAGACAACTCACCCATATTGATGAAGGGTGTGAGTTGGATGGCATATTGATTTGTGTTTGCAGATTTGTATCAATGATTAAGAGAGGTATCCGCATTGCCTGTTTTGTTCAAATATACATGTATACTGACATACTTGAAATGTCAGGAACAAAGTAATGGACACAAAGCACACCTGATACTAAGTTAGACTGTAGGTATGGGTGACGAAGAAAGGGGATACACGACACCAGGCATCTGCCACGTGAGATTAGTTTCACGGGGGATCCTGCACGTCATCGTGGCTGTTGTAAAATATGATCCTTTAGTGGGGGGATGGGGTTTGGGGATGGGGAGGTGTGGCTGTGCTTACATTATGATGTGTACGTGTGAGTGTGAGTGTGTGTGTGTTCGTGTGTGTGTTCGTGTGTTCGTGTGTTCGTGTGTGTGTCCGTGTTCGTGTGTTCGTGTTCGTGTTCGTGTTCGTGTGTGTGTGTGTGTGTGTGTGTGTGTGTGTGTGTGTGTGTGTGTGTGTGTGTGTGTGTGTGTGTGTGTGTGTGTGTGCGTGCGTGCGAGTGTGTGTATCATGGTGTGGTGGTCATGTGTGTATGGTGTGTGTAAAGATGGGAGTCTTTGGTTGTGTGTGTAATAGTAGGATGGCCATGTGTGTGATTGTGTGTGTATGTTTTGTGTGTTGGTGTATGTGTGTGTGTTTATGTGTGTGTGATGATGTGTATGTTTTGTGTGATGATGTTTATGTTGTTTGTGACGGTTTGTGTGTTTGCGATGATGTGTATGTTTTTAGTGATGGTGCGTGTGTGTATGTGTGTGTGATGATGTGTATCTTTTGTGATGATGCGTGTATCATGTGTGTGTGTTTATGTGTGTGCGATGATGTGTATGTTGTGTGTGTGTGTGATGTGTATGTTTTGAGTGATGGTGCATGTGTGTATTTGTGTGAGGATGTGTATCTTTTGTGATGATGAGTGTATTTTGTGTGTCCTGAGTGTGTGTTTGTAATGCCGGTGTATATGACATTCGGTGTGTGTGTGTGTGTGTGTGTGTGTGTGTGTGTGTGTGTGTGTGTGTGTGTGTGTGTGTGTGTGTGTGTGTGTGTGTGTGTGTGTGTGTGTGTGTGTGTCTGTGTGTGTGATTTTGTGTGTTGGTGTATGTGTGTGTGTGTTTATGTGTGTGTGTGTTTATGTGTGTGTGATGATGTGTATGTTTTGTGTGATGATGTTTATGTTGTGTGTGACGGTTTGTGTGTTTGCGATGATGTGTATGTTTTGTGTGATGGTGCGTGTGTGTATGTGTGTGTGATGATGTGTATCTTTTGTGATGATGAGTGTATCATGTGTGTGTGTTTATGTGTGTGCGATGATGTGTATGTTGTGTGTGTGTGTGATGTGTATGTTTTGAGTGACGGTGCATGTGTGTATTTGTGTGAGGATGTGTATCTTTTGTGATGATGAGTGTATTTTGTGTGTCCTGAGTGTGTGTTTGTAATGCCGGTGTATATGACGTGCGGTGTGTGTGTGTGTGTGTGTGTGTGTGTGTGTGTGTGTGTGTGTGTGTGTGTGTGTGTGTGTGTGTGTGTGTGTGTGTGTGTGTGTGTGTGTGTGTGTGTGTGTGTGTGTGATGCTATGTAATGGTGTGTGTATTGTGGGTGGTGATGGTGTGTGTTTATATAATAACGGGAAGGTCATGTATGTAATGTGTGTGTATTCTGCGTCATGACGTGTGATGGTGATGATGTATGTGTGTGTGGTGTGTAATGATGTGTAATGCTGATGTATGTGTGTATATGTGTGTGATATGCTGTCTGTATTTGTGTGACATGATGTGTGTATGTGTTTGATACGCTGTGTGTGTGTGTCTGTGTGATATATGGTGTGTGTCTGAGTGCGATGTCGAACTATGGAGTGATACCCGACTTACTTCCGACGCTAATGTTTCACGTCCCCACACAAATACCTACAGGCTACCAGGTGAAACAAAGGTGTATTGTTCTAGCGTAGCACTGTTTACACCCCTCCCCCTCCTGCCGCGTGACACAGCATCATCAACGTCAGGGTTAATGGCCAGTTTACAGCCCTCTAAGTCGCTTTCTACCTACACTCTACAACTGATACTTTCACTCAGAGGCTCGACTTGACACTGGATCTCTCATCTCATGGATGCCTCGATTCGCCTCCTGTCTCATTACCAGTTTCATCTAATTGGTATTTTCATTGGAAACCCTCGGTTTCACATGTTGGTCTTTTTAATCCACACCCGAGTAGTTTCATGGCATTGTCTTTTCGATTACTATCAAACACTATCGCATGCCTAAACTAAAAGAAAGTATGAATGTAATGTCTTGCCTACCTACCGATAACTAACTTTGAAAATGAAATGTCTTTTCGATTACTATCAAACAATGAGTTATTTCGCGTGCCTAAACTAAAAGATAGTATAAATATGATGTCTTGCTTACCTACCGATAACTAACTTTGAAAATGAAATGTCTTTTTGATTACTATCAAACAATTAGTAATTTCGCATGCCTCAACTCAAGAAAGTATGAATATAATGTCTTGCCTACCTACCGACAACTAAATTCGAAAATGAAATGTCTTTTCGATTACTATCAAACAATTAGTAATTTCGCATACCTAACCTAAAATAAATATAAATATATATTGTCTTGCATACTTAC